AGAAATAGATTTCCCCCTGTCCCTGCACTCTCTTATTCATATTCAAGTACAACTTTTATGAAAAATCTACATCTCCGTGAGCAATAGCCCTTTGCTGATTAGGAAAGTGACCTGGCCATGGACATATGTTGCCTCTTCAAAACCAGAGCATACTTCATACATGCCTGTGTTGTATTCAGTCTCTTTTTGTTTTACGTAATGAAAGAGAAGCAACTGCTTTTGGAATTTGGGTCAAAAACAAATGCTGTGACAATTGCTGTAATCATTCATAGACTGGAAAAAGACAGAAAGACCTGCTAATGACCTCTTCTGACTCATCCTTGAAGCTACGGGACCTGTGCGATGTGCATCTCAAAGGCACTCACTGATGTTGAATGTTTATTTTAAAGACTTATAGGACATTTTTAGGGGAGGTGTACAAAATAAAAACCACACAGTAGGAAAAAAAAGATAAAACAGGAACAGAATATTTTAAAAAAATTATCTATGAGAGCCAGTTATCACCAGCTGTTTGAAGATATTGTTTAAATTAGCTCTTATATAGGCCAAACCCAGAACAAAAAAGTTTTAGGGTCCACTTGAAGACTTGTAATGAAGAAATTTAGAGTATGTCAACTGAAGCCCAAATAGGGGATCACCATGAAGAAGGCCCTGTCCCTTGTCCCTGCCAGCCTAATTGCTCTCAGCGGTGGGTATGTGATCATGTTAGCCCTGTATCCATTCCAGGTAGATGCTGTGAAGTGAAGCCTCAGATCTCTTCCTATAACCAAGGGGAGCGGAAGTATGTGAATCTGAAACTGACCTAGACTCACTGTTGTCTTGTTGAACAAATTTGTATCATTGTCTGAACACTGTGACTACTAATACTTTTCTACTCCCTCTACTGAATCTGTGGAAGAGGTGAAATTTGAGTCTTTGCCTTAAACTCTTTGTGTGTTTTGGAAAACAAGAAGGTGGTCATACTGAATCAGACCATTGGTCCACCCAGCTCAGTAGCACTGGCTACCAGCAGTCCTCTACATTTTTCCTCACGAGTCTTTTCCAGCCCTACCTGGAGATTCAAGAAATGTCATTTCACTCTGTGAAAATAATCTGGGATGAATCAGGGTTGAATCTCAGTTGTTCATATGCATCCTGAATGCACACAATTAAGTTGGGGAGGGAGGTTGCCAAAACCCCCACTTAATCCTGGATAATCGATATTGGGTTTCCCCCGAGGTTTTTTAAAAAGATCCACATCGTCAGTAGTGTGAATAACTGATGCAAATAGACCCGAATAGACCCAGGATAAAACTCTGCATGCCTTGAACATGTTCCAAATCCATTTGCATTGTCAACTCCATCTTTATTCTAATGCTTGCATGTGTGAGCAACCAAACTTGCAGAGATGTGCATTGATGGGGTTCCATAGCATGAATAAAAAACCTGGAATGCTAAAAGAAACAACATCTGAATGACGCCTCAGACTTTTTGTATGCAAGGCATGTGGTCTGCTACTAAACTGTGGCCTATCTCTCATTTGATCTCACAGTGACATCCCTACTCTGGATCACACTGGCTCTTCTGCCTTTATTGCTCATAAAAGCTACAGTAATAAGCTACTGTGATAAATGCTACAGTAAATGCCTTTGAGATTCACATAGGACAGGTCCTATATTCAAATGAATCCATGATGGGTGGCACAGAAAATCCAAAAGGTGAAGAAGGTTCCTGAGGTACACTTGATAGAACTGCAGTCAGAAAATCCCATGCATGCTTCCTTGTCTGGGCCTGTTAACTGATGCAGTGAAATGGAAGATTAAAATGCAATCACCAACTCAGCAGCAGTAGGCTAAAAATAGAACAAAGTAACAATGCCATAGCAATTGAAACACCATTCTGAATAGTAATGTTTTTGCCTGGCACTGGAGGGAGGGTGGAACCAAAGCTGAAACAAATTTGCTTCCAGAAGTTTCGTGGTGACCCCTCATTCTTTTCACTTCTGAACTTCATTTACACAATTGAGCGGGCACAGTTTGTCACAGTTTTCAGTCTGCAACTTTCTTTCACACAAATTACCAAAGTGCACCAGAGCATATGCACATTGAGTAAATCACAAGGAATCCAGATGTGATTGTGCAATTGAATCAAGATTTCTTTTTTTGTAAGAAATAAAGAAACATGAACTAAAAACTGGCAAGCTCCACAGGAGCTCATGAGATTAAATGTAAGTGTTCTTCAAAGCAGATGTGAGGCTAAACAAAATCAGACCAAGGAAGGCACTAGTCTTTAGGTTGTACCCCATGTTAATTGGTGGAAAGGTGGTATCATTTGTATTTTTGGTGTCAGCTGGTGCAGGTTTGGTGTAACCAGTGCAGTAACTCATGGTGTCACTGCCCCCATTAACTTCCTCCCATCCCATCCCATACAGAATCCTTAGGAATGTTTTTTTGGACTAATATTACCTATTAATTGTAATTCCTGTATATTACTGAATATCATGGTAATAGTTGTGCCATAAACTAGCAAAATTAAAATTATACCTTTAAATTACAATATCATATGCATAGCCTAAATGCATTCATATTTTTTGTGGTTGAAGTGAAAAATTGGTAAAATGTGATGTTTTTAAGGATAATTTTTAAAAAAGAGAACTTCATCTCATTTAATACTTATGTTACTCCTTTGTTGTTACTGCTCTTCTTGGCTTTCTCTCTATATCTCTTCTTCACTTATTCACACACATACTCCCCTGTTAGTCACATATACAGTATACACATATGCATTATTTATACGTTAGTTGTATTTATATCCCCCATTTCTCCAATTAATTCAGCTGGCATACAGGAAGCTATGCCTTGTGAATTTATATTGAAATGGTATTTGAACCATTTGCCTTTCTTATAAAACACTAGACAAAGATCAAATTTCAGGCTAAGTTGTAAAATAAAAAAATAGATTCATCCCTTCCTTCATCTGAACCAGTGAAATTAAGCACAATGTTGGAAGAGTACATAATGCAAGATAACGCAAAATCCTTCTGATGAGGAAGCCATGCCAATTGGTTAGTTTACTCAATTTACAATGAAGCAGAAAGGGATGGAACTCAAACATGCTTCTTTTACAGTCATCTTTCCACTCATTCATGGCTACTTCTTTACACAGTTCAAACCATACCAAGGCCTCCCTCATTTTTCACACAACTTTCACAACTCTGGCCTTATACCAGAGAGACGTCCATTCTACTTTCATCCTCCTTCCCTGTCCAGCCCAACTCTGCTGTCTCCACCCAAAGCCTCTCTCCTTATTCCCCTTTCATGGCTTCTGTCTCAACCAATCCAGCTCTATTCCATCCCATCTGTTCATAAAAGTATATGGCTTACTATCCAAGACAGAAAGATTTACATGTGTGTGTTGTATGCATTCAGTTGTTTCCAACTTATGGCGACAGACACCAAGGTGAACATATCACTGAGTTTCCTGGGAAGTTTCTTCAGCACCAACATTTCACAGATGAAAACAGGGACACGCTGTGGTCATACAATAATGTGTGGTCAGGTTGGCAAAAGGTATTAATGAGCTAGGAAAGGCGGCAGCAGTTTGCCTTTGCCTGATCCTACTGAGAAGGGTAAGATTTTGCTCCTTCTTCCCACCACCCGACTGGGTTAACTGAGTACAAATGATTGAAACAGTTTGCAGCAACTGAAATAAGTTGAAGACAAAGGAGAAAAGGAGAAAAAGGACAATGAAACAAGGACATTTTAGAAGAATGGAATGATAGAGGATTAATTGGGACCATGCTTGGCCAACTGGGACAGTTGGAGTG